CAATCACAGTAATTTACAATCTGCATACGAATACAATTACAGAAATTACCAATCTGCATACGAATACAATCACAGTGATTTACCATATTTGCTTAAAGAAGCATGACGACACTTACATTATGGGGGTCCTCTGATGGTATAATGTATGCATTTATGCCTTTAGCTGCCATTTTAGTTCTAAGATCTTCCAGTCGTTCCGTTGTTTCTGTTACAGTGTCAGGATATACCTGTGAATAGCAAATAACATGGACGTGAAATTAAAATGTAGGACACAATAAATTGTTGTGTATGTTGCAGTATATCAGTCTTAAGTAATTTGTGTACATACATTATTGAAATTGTAAATAACACAACAGTAATACAATGTGTGATGATAACTTTAATGGTCATAGACAATATATGTGTTAACGAGTGTTCATTGCATTGTTTGGCATGTGCTTTGTCACCAGATTCTATTTAGAAGGTACATGGAGCTAGGGCTGCCCCGGTGACCTCAGTACATTGGACGACCCAGTACTAAGCAATACTACTCCATGCGCAGAGTTATTTGAAGGGCCGGATATTTCCCGTCTTCAGTAAACGAAAAGTTGTATGACTAAACCCCAATAGCAAGTCCATAGATTAGTTAGGATGACAACCTATATAATGTAATATAATATATAATGTCAACGGAAGCTTCTATGATTGGTTTAATGCTGAGAGTAAGACGAGTCTTTAAGATGTGATTAGCTCGTGTGGCATTACAGGGCGGTGTTTATGCAGAATCTTTATAATGTGACACTTTATATGCTTTCAAATATCAACTAATTTGCGTTGGTTGCGTGGTGACTTCTGGTACCGCTCGGCTGGTCGACGGCATTAGACTTTATTTATTGGAATGAACGAGTTATTATCCATGTGATAGAGACAATGGAGAAGCTTAGTGACGACAACAATAGACGTTGCCATATTTAGCATGAGGGTCTAGTATATACATTTTCCATCTTACCGGGTTTTGAGGATCTGTGCAGTCTCTCTGTGTTTCAGGAACTGTGTCACGTTTACTTCGCTGATACATCATAGGATATGCACCGTATAAATCCTGTGGTAGACAGTAGCTAAGGTGCAACGCTGTAGGAATATCATAATATCTCGGGAATTAGTAAAATAAAATGACAGTAGCATTTGATATTAGTTTACAGCGAGTGATCCGAATCCGGTTGCTTCAATATTGTATATTACAATATATGCACATGAAATAGATATACGTGACCCGGGATATGTGACAATAGATGAGAAATAGGTACTGATAGTGACAATATATATATATGACAATATAGGTGTATGACAATGGGAATACATGAAAATACATGTCAACTTTAATGTTGTATTGGCAACATTGGTGTATATCCCAAAATCAGTCTATAACAATATAATATTATGTGTACTATCTATCAGTCAAATCTCGTGGCCAAAAAAATAGGCCTACTGCTGCTCAGCGATTGATGGAATTGGATTTTTGATCGGTAACCCGACATCACATTCTGCCCGTGAATAAATACCAAAAATAGGCATGAGTGAATCTACCACAGACTTACCAAGATTTATTCACTTGGCTGTTGTAGACCATAATTACGGTTTCCAAAAGTCACAAGTGTTTGTGTATGATAGTTAAAAGGCGGTAGTCGTCGCGCTGTGCACGTGTGATCTTCGTGTTAATAAACATTGGTTTCTCCATAATCTAATGCGCTCTTCTAATGGAAATAAGTTCGACCCGAGGTTCGACCTGGGCGATACTAGCACTAATTACCACCCGTGACTCCTCGATACCTTCTCAGCGCCTAATAAAATACGTAATTAAAGCTTGGTAACTTCTCTGTCAAGAGGTCTATATATATATATATATATATTTGTATTAAATCCAAAATAATTCATACAAAGTGAATGGAGATGCCAAACGGTAATTTGTATTACATAAACTATATAGATCACACTTGTTCTTTTCACGGGCCATAAAGGCATTGGAAATCATTAAGATGGTTATCGTTACAAGACGACAATGTTCAGATCTCAGGCCAATAATAATGGGACATCAAAGAACCATAGAGAAATTATACACGAGGGAACGAACACATTCATCATACACTCACAGCACTAAATAACACCAAATTTGAATTAACTGCAATGTGCATACGCACACTTTAATACAATGAAATCTAACCAAAAGTTTTACAATACATACACAATGAAAGTATAGCTGCAACTATGAATCAAAAACTACAAATAGCTACACAAAATTAGCTAATTAACTATTTACTGCATTGCCTAAATATTTTAGACTGTTCCGATGAACATAACCGCGGTCGAAATATGCAGGTAAGGCAGTGGGAATCTGAAACCTGGATGTTTGCGCGTGTAAGGTAGATGTACTTTACCGGACTTAACGATGTCGAACTGGCGCAACAAACTTCAGACGGCTTGGTTTCCAGGGGTGGCTCACATCACGAGAACGGTGTACAGTACCATAGCTGACACTAGAACGACCAGAGAGTAAGTTCTCAATCAGGAGTTCAATGGTGACGTTATCTGTGGTATACCGTACTTCTAGTGGATTGTCCAACATGCAGCCCCAGGGCACGATTTCTTGTTAAATGTATAGGGAAACATATGTAAATCAAGATGACACCACTTTGTTTACACTGCTCATTTCTAATTGGTCGAAAGCAAAAGAATTGTGGGAAACTACCACACCAGGTGTCATACATCATTGTTATACAACTGAATACCCTCAAGGCGACAGGAATGTTATGCAAACTGACAGAAATGCATAAACGAGGTTGTTGACCCGTCTATCCAGTTCGCCAAAGTTTATTAACCTCAAGTTCATACAGAATGCTGGAATCACCTTGGCCTAAGACATTCAAGTTCATACCACAGCAGAATCGCATCTAACGTCATTCTGATTCTCGGGAATCGTAAAGTCTTCGGTAGCATAGTATTTGGAGACAAATCTCACCCCAGGTAAATTCTTTGTCGTCCAATCAGGCTGCTCCCCTTGCGAAGAATGTAACAATTCGTGCATGCAATATATGTATTAAGTATTTCTTTATTTCTCCACCTATAACAAGTCACAAAGTATTCCACTTTCTATGTAAATCATGTATGCATTTAAAAGCTTATAAGCCTAACAGGGAGGGTGTAATACTTGGAAATGAATTAAACTTTGGATTCCTGACAGTCTCAATTTGTACTTGTTGCTCTGCCCAGCAGTTAAGGTCGCCATCGTTGTTCATATGAGACCCATGCGTGGCGCGACGACTACCGCCCCTTAAATTGTCACAATATGTCATGTCATGTAGTCCCACATAAAAATACGATATTTATGTACGTGTAAATACAGTTGTATCAATAAAAATGAGCTATTTAAAAATATATTGGCGAAAATAAACAAATGTAATGTTTCAGGTAATGTCCTATTTCACGTCGAAGAGGGCAGTACGCAGTATCACTGTTCTTTCAAGTTGGACAGTTATTAATTACACGTAAACAAAAACACATTAAAACAACGGGACGGCTACAAGGTTGAATTAAGGTCCAAAGTTTAACACAAATTAATATGCGCATTGGCGTCATGGTGGTACTGATTTGGGGTGGTACCAGCACTTGAGACGATCTACGAGAGATTGGTGTTTGTATTTCCCAAGCAAGTAGACGAATACACATTAAATCGAGATGCCGTTGTCGTCAACAATGGTTTATCCAGGGTCCAGTCATCAAAGTTTGTCACTTGCCTTAATCTAAATGAACCATTTGCATTTCATATGAATATTACGGTAGTAATGTTCAACGAACGAGTAGATAACAAATGTTAGGACAACTTACATTTGAATGAAACAAAATAGTTTTTATATCTCACCGAATAAAACGAGAAAGGGTCAAGGCCAAGTAGATCTGCATTGCGAAAATTCACTCGAATTGTGTGGATATAAAAGTACTCACAGAGGTAAAGCGAACTATGACGATAGATGTCGATGATGTTCTCTGCAACACTCTTATTGAAAGGCGCAACATTAATAATTTTGAGCATGTTTAAATAATTGCGTTGATATCCATCTGAATGCAGAAAACACCGTTGACCACCCTTATACCAGGGTGTATATATACGTACGTTTTAAAGTCCGAGCGTTGAACGAACACTGCTATGTTTGTGGCCAAACAATTATTTGTTTACGATAAATCATATCTTACTGGTTTATCAAGATTTAGTATAAAAAACATACTGAAAAAAACTCAACACACACACACACACACACACACACACACACACACACACACACACACACACACACACACATACACACACACACACACACACACACACACACACACACACACACACACACACACACACACACACACACACACACACACACACAAGTTGTAAAAATGTGATTAACATATTTTACAATCTCGGTCGTGAAAAACCTGCGTGTAACAATTTGAAGTATTATTATCTAAATGTACATATCAGTTTAGCTTGTATTGTTTTAAATAAATAAATTCTCAAGTAGTCACAAAGTGCGTCACTGCTGGAATTCGACATACAGTAAAATAAATCACCTAATATAATCAATTAGACTTCGGTACATTCTCCTATGAGGTACGATCAATGCAGTCATTTTATGTGCAATTAATAGTTTGTATATTGGGAGGACGTGGCAATATATTGTAGAAGCTGGCATTCAGCGATAGTCGTAGCTAACAATTACGTTCACTCTGAGCTTAGCAAAGTTGCACATTTTCCTACTGGCACGAGTGGCCATGTGAACTTGGAAAAAGAAACAACCAACCAAACTTGAGTCAATTATCAACAAAATAAGTCATTGCTGGGACACAAAAAAATAAAATAAAAATGGGAACATATATATGCTTACCACAACAGAGGCAGAACACAGTTATCACAAACGTCGACATGTTGTCTATGCTTTAAAGATTCTGCTGACAACAGACGAATACTTGATTCGGGAAGTAATTCAGAGGTAGATGCTGTCTCCGTTTAAGAGCTGCAGAAACAAAATAAGTTTTCAGCAACCGTATAAACTAAAGTATGGCCTAATAAAAGTACGACGTGTGTGGTCAATTATGGTCACGTGGTAAAATATATATTATATTGTAGTAGATTCCAGTGTTTTTTTGTTTAGAACGAGTGTTATGCACGTTATACTATAACGCAATGTGTTATTTTGTCTCAGTAAAACTAATCATATACCGTGCAATGCAAAGTACATCGGCACTATTTTTTACGTATTGTGTATCTACGCGTGTGTGCTATTTGAATTGACCGAATTACTCTCGTACCAATACACCATCATTTGATTTAACGGTGTTCTGTTTCAAACAATAAGAGCGGTAAACCTACATTACCCCTCCCCCTAACGACGGACAAATACTATGGTGTGAATATATATACACACTGCCTAGTTACATTAACCAATCACCGACGATGTGTGACTTATTAAGACTTTATAATTAGATGTGTGCTCGTAGTAAACGTGTAGCTCATAATTAGCGCTTTTATTGCAGGTAGATGAGTTCCTCACTTGTAGAACTTTTACGATATATTGTCAATTTTGATGTTGAATTGGCGGTTTAATGCTGTATTGATGATTGTAATGCTGTATTGCCGATTTTAATGCTTGTCAGAGATGGAATCGAGGGGTCGTTTATTTCCATCCAATTGTTTACATTTATTACGTATACGTGTAACTTCGTTACGAATACGTAATTATTATGCGTCTATTTTGGCACCAAAACTTTGTTACTTTGTCCCCGTTATCTGCTTTGTCACGTGTTAGTTGCCTACAGTTTTCTTGTCAGCAAAAGTACTTTCAGTTTTAACCCGATTTTCACCATTTACACACTCGCATGATATACACAGAAATAGAAAAAAAAGAAAAAATGAAAAAAGGCAGAAATTCCAAACATATTGGAAGGTCATTAGGTGATATAAATGTCTATACTCGAAGCAGATTCGCAAATATTGGCCTAGTGACACTAAATAATGCCCCGGAACATATA